ATAACGATTATGGGTGCTCCGTGACTCGAAGAAAGACATCTCAGTTGACAAATGTCAAAGCTACGGACAATATGACCCTAAATATGTCTGGTAACAGCGAATCACCAGAGTCAAGTCCATCGATAAATAAAAGCGAAGCAAGTGATGCCTTAGCTAAGGTATGTAACTATGACTGTGAATGTATAAACAGGAGCCTAACAACTGAACTTGAAGGTATTAAATTAGACATAGCAATTTTGGAAGGCAAATTATTACCCGAAGTAATTTCCCAAAATGCTTCGAACACTAACTTACTTAAAGCTAAACAAGAAAATATGGAAGCCATTATACAGCATCAAGAAGAAATGATTCATAAACTTAGGCCTGTTTTATACGTCGAATTTCGGTCGCGTCGAATGCAATTCAAACAATAGATAATGAAGCTTAATGAGGTTTATCATCTCATTATCTATTGTCTTAATTGCATTCGACACGACCAAAATTCGACGTATAAAACAGGCCTTAGCGAGGAAAATTCAGTTTTTAAATCGAAACTTGTGTCCCTTGAAAATCTAGTATTTAGATTAACAGGTGATAACCAGGAGAACAATGATCGTGGGCCGGCAACTAATCCAATTAATTCTCCAAGCGTAACGACGCCCATTAGCAGTGTGAAACTGCATAATTTAAACACAAGCAATTCAAGTCCAATTAATAGTCCATCAGCAGTCAAAACGCCACTTAATATGAACAAAGTTTTTAAATCGAAACTCGTCTCCCTTGAAAATCTAGTATTTAGATTGACACGTAATAACCAGGAGAACAATGATCGTGGGCGGCAACTAATTCAACTAATACTCCAAGTGTAACGACACCCATTAGCAGTGTAAAACTGCACAATTTAAGCACAAACAATCCAAGTCCAATTAATAGTCCATCAGCAGTCAAAACGCCACTTAATATGAATTGAAATAATGCAAACCCAATCGCCAGAAACGATCATGGTCCTCATAGGCGTACCGGGCGGGGGGGGGCGGGGGGGGGGGCGGTAGACCCCCCAGTTTTTTGGGCAGTCGGGCAATATTCGATCAACAGTCGGGCAATTTTGGTTTGCAATAAAAAAAATGCGACAAATTCTGTCAATTTTGTCTAGAATTAAGTCAATTTTTTGGCAAATTTTGTGATTTTTCGAAAATTTGTGTTATGTTCCGAAAAATAATGGTTGTGCGGAAAATTTTTTTGGACCCCTAAAATGGTACAATGACCGAAATTTTTCGGGAGGTCGCCAAAATAATTTTTCCGGAAAAAATTTTTTGGTACTAGTCGGGCACAATCCCGAAAAGTGGGGCAATTTTCTTTCCGCCCCCCTAATTTTTTCCTTCCGGTACGCCCATGATGGTCCTACGATAAATACAACCAACATCTCAACCGGAAGGTCATCCTGTAACAGTGTACAACTGGATGATTTAGCAGTAAATGATGCAAATCAAAGTATCACTGAAATCCCATCGGCTATAGCTAAAACGTCAGCTAAGTCGAGGGAAAATAATGCAAGTTTAATCACCATCGAAAATCCATCTCCCAAACAAAATCCAACTCAAAACTACTATAATCGCGACCCGAACAAAAATAACATTGATTCTGCCAACACAGAAAAAGCGAAAAAAGCTCTAGTGGCATGCCCGTTTCTGAAAAGGCGGGGATATTGTTTAAAGGGACACAAATGTGACTTCTTACATGAGAATGTCCTACCTGGAACACGCGGGAAGACATCTCCACAGAAGAGTGGTGAAAGATCTCTTCCTCCTAACATGCCACAATGCAGTAATAACCAATTTTCTTTTCCGTACTACCCAAATTATTTCCCCCCGATTCGTTTCCCATGGTTTTATCCCCTGTCTCAGCCGTTTCCGTACCCGTATGTACCCCCACATATGCCCCACTGATCAGACCCCCACCACTCATGTCAATAATGACAAAGAATCAAACACTGAACTGCCCCAAATCTCGATCGAGGCTGTTTCGTCTGTATTGCGAAATTTACCACACAAAGCACCCGGACCTGACGGCATCCCAAACTGGATTCTCAAAGAATATGCCATGATACTTTCCGATCCCATTTGCCACGTTATAAACTGTTCCTTCGCTAATCAAAGTCTTCCTTCTTCATGGAAATTAGCTGATGTTATTCCAGTACCAAAACAAAGCCCCGTCGAAGATGTCAATAACCACCTTATACCCATCTCCCTGACACCGGCTATTTATAAAGTTGCAGAGGAGTTTGCTGTGAAATTGTACGTTGCGCCAGCTGTTCTCGAGATCATCGACCCTAGCTAGTTTGGAGCCATACCGAAGTCCTCGACAGTACACGCCCTTATCTCTATGATCCATCATTTGGCCCAAGCAACGGAAAGTACAGGAGCCGCAGTTAGAGTGGTCTTATTTGACTACAGAAAAGCGTTTGACCTAATTGACCACCAAATTCTGGTACAAAAGATCATTGGCCTAAATATTCCCCGGAGCATCGCGCGCTGGGTAGCTGATTTCTTAACGAACCGTAAACAACGTGTCAAACTTTCACATGACTGCTTTTCCGAATGGGGAGATGTACCTTCAGGTGTCCCGCAAGGCACCAAATTAGGACCGTGACTGTTCCTGCTTATGATAAATTTAAAGATCCAAGATGTTAGTAGCTGGAAATTCGTTGACGACACAACCATATCAGAAGTTGTCCAGATTGAAACGAATAGTCAAGTCCAAGACGCAGTTACATCAGTTGAAAAGTGGTCCACTGAAAATAAACTCCAGCTAAATGCCAAGAAATGCAAAGAACTCATCATCGACTTCAAGTATTCCAAACACATCTTCGAACCTTTGACAGTAAATGGTAACCTACTCAGTGTTGTAAAACATGTAAAGATCTTAGGTCTGAACCTCTCAAACGACCTCCAGTGGAACGTCCATATTGGTGAAATAATTAGAAAAGCTAATAAGCGTATGTACTTCCTAATTTTACTAAAACGTTCTAGAGTACCAACTGCGGACATCCGAAATTTTTTCTGTACATGTATTAGACCTCTGTTGGAATACTGCTCGCAGGTTTTCCACCATTCCCTCCCGAAATATTTGTGTGATGACTTGGAAAACGTCCAAAAGAGAGCGCTGGCTACATTTCCCCGAACCAGTCATATGAACATAACCTGCAGAAGTTTAATTTAACTACTTTAAAAGATAGACGTATGAAGTTATGCGACAAGTTTTTCTCGTCCATCAAGAGTTCGGAATCTCATAAGTTACACAATCTTCTACCTCCTTTGCAAGAGGAAAACTACGACATTAGAAAGAAGCGAGTCTTCAATATTCCAATGATACACACTGAACGCTTTAAGCGGACTTTATTCCTTCGATGTGCAAGTCTTAAAACATTTTGACCTTTGTAGTTAAACATTTTCTTGAACTGTCTTATATCTAAACTTAGCATCTAATGTAATTTTAAATTCGTGTTAATTATTAATAGCTTGTAAATAGGTTACGCAATTCAGCTTTTATAAGCTGCAATGTAAACTTTTTAATTAAACTATCAATCTATCTATCTATTTATCTATCTATCTATCTATTATTCATGGCAATTCCTTGTCTACTACCGTATTTACTCGATTGAGCGCCGCCTCCGAATGAGCGCCGCACTAAACAGTGTAAAACTTTCCGCCGTCAAAATGGGGACATTTAGTAACAAAGACATTTAAAACGTGTTTATTTTATTGTTAAAAGTTCTTGTTTCAAAGAGCGCCGCCCCCGATTGAGCGCCGCATATCAGAAGCT